CTTTATCTGGGCAACGTCGGGAGATATATATGTATATATATTTATGTATATATATTCTTAGAGGAAAGCAGCACACAATGGAAAATGGGGCTGGGTGGGGGCTGAAAATGGCGATGGCTTTGGGGGATGGGGTTGCTTGGGGACTTGCTCAATGCTCGATTGCGCGACAATCGCAATGGGACCATATATATGTGTTTCACAGCTTATCATTTCCCATATATATACAGCATATATATTATTGAGTGTGAGTGTGCTCTGACTCCCTGGGGTCGCATTGGAGCGTGAGCATTTTGCAAAAATAATTTATGGCAAACTGTTGATTGCTGACATGGGGCCCCCAGAGCAGCACCAACAACAAACTGAACAAAAAAAGGAAGAAAAAAAACTAACAGAAACAAGACAATAACAGAATTATTAACAGATGTAGTAAAGCAAGAAGATAAGATTGGGTACAGTACAAAAAATATGAAACAACAAGAAATAAGAGCAGCTATAAGATAAATAACGCCAGAGGTGGCTGCAGCATAAAAATACTTTTAAAAAAGGATTTTACCTTTTTAAATATATTTATTGTTGTGGGTAAAGTAAAGTGTAGATGAAAGTGGACAACTTAATGTGTTGCTGCCTCACTGCAGGCTACTTGCTACAGCGCTCTGCTCCGTTTACAAACAGCTTAACTTAACCAGCAAAGTAAATAACAACAGGAACATTAACGGCTACATCAGGAGCAGAAGCAATACAAAGGCCCAAAGACAACGAAGGAGCAGGAGCAGCAGCAACAATAGCAGCAAGACTAGCAATACTACCAGAAGCAGCAGCAACTCTAGCAGCAACAACAGCAGCAACAGCAACACTAGCAGCAGCAGCAGCAGCAACAGCAGCAACACTAGCAGCAGCAGCAACAACAGCAGCAATAACAGCAACAACATCAGCAGCAACACTAGCAGCAAAAACAGCAACACGAGCAACAACTGCAGCAGCAAAAAGCTTTAAAGGCCAAAAACCAATAACAGGCGGAAAAGTGAAAACGGCAGCAACAGTAACAAAGGAAAAGCAGTCCGAACAAAGCAACAAAAGTAACACCAATCGTAAATAACAGTATGGCCAGCCATCGGCAGCAGCAACAACAATAAGTGCCACAATAACAGCAGCAACATTGAAGCTTAAGTTGTAGTCTGAGTTTGGCATTAGCTTGAGGGCACTGCAAGATAAGTTTATAATATATATATGGGATCTTAAGAAAGTAAACAAATAGATTTTATAGCACGAAAACTAAAAAAAAATCTTAAATGTAAGAATAAGTAAATATACAATTCTTTAAACAAATTATTTATTTAAAGAAAAAGTATTAAACAACAACCTTGATCTGGTATTGATATTTATATATAAGTTAACTGTTTAAAACTCTTTACTGAAATGTAATATTTTGATTTTTAATGTGTACTTAACATTTTTATATCAAGGTTAATGGCATAAATAATAAATAAAGAATTATGATAAGTCAACGATTGATCAATTAATCAAATAAATTGCAACACAATTGAGTTGCTTCTGATATAAGGTTTATTGAACTTTGATTTTTAATTGGAACGAAAAGTTTACGATTTAAGCGGATTTCAGTAATAATTTTTCAACATTCTTTTTAAGTTAAAGATCAAGCTTTCTCTAATACGATTAAATGTGATAAGAATTAGTTTAGAAAGTTACTTACACATTTTCCTTAGTGTAACAATTCAGACCTATTTAGAGTTTATACTACGCGACTAGAATTTATCATTAGTTCACTTGGTCTACGTATACGTAATATGCTTGTATGGCTATGTTATATACTGTTTAGATTAACAATTGTAATCACTGTTGTTGGTGTATTGTTGTTGAGTTGTTGTTGTTGTTGCTTTTATGTTGTTATTGTTGTTGTAACTGCTGCTGTTGATTTTGCCAAGCGAAACGAAACGCAACGAGCAAAAAAATAAAAACACAAAAACACAAAAGCTAACAGCAACGTCAACCGCCACAAAACTCGGGGTGTTGATTTGTTTTCAAAAACATTGCGTCACTTCCAGATGGCAAGCTTTATGCCAATCTTCGGTCTGTCCCCCCCTTGTTAGGGGCGCCACTGATCGGTGGGGAGAGACCAAGTGGCAGACGATCGAAGCACGTCGGATTCGTGGAAAAACTCGGCAAATTCTACGAACTGAAACTTGGGGGATGTCGACGGCCATATCGGAAGGCAAATATCGTTGTGTATACAGACATTCAGTGTATATATTGTCCGATGTATACAATTTATACTATAAATGGTATATGGATTCACTGGGGAACAAAGGATTTGATCAATTTATTAACGATTTAAGAAAATGGAAAATAAATATCTCCTATAAAATGGTTGGTTTTGGAATTACTTAAATAGAAAGAGAGATAATTAAGATCTATAATTTTAATTTGTTCATGGCTTAGTTATGGCCATAATTTTAATTTGGGAAGCTTTGTGCTAGTTTTTATTAGGTGAATAAATCTGCGTACTCAATATACTATTCTAAAAAAATTAAAATTTTTGAAAATTTGACATATCTAGATCGATTCGGATTTTTGTGGTGATCAAGAATATAGGGTCGAAAATTATTGCTTCCTGAGAAACAAGCTTCAGGCTGAAATAATAATACTAAGAATTTATAATATATCTTAATCATTTGATTAAAATTATAATCTTATTTTAATAATATAAATGTATTTTAAAGGCTTTAAAAAAACTCTTATCTTATCCCCTTTTCAAGTACGCCTCTGTGTTTGGGGTGTGTTTACTCGCGTACATGATTGATATTTGCTTGCCATGATTACTTGTAGACGGAGCTCGTCAAAAAAAAGTTGTGATAAAACTACAAACTCGACACGAGATAAAAATCATGTCTGGAAGAAAATTGCACAAATGTTACGGCTCTGCGATTTCGCTATTATTAGGATTTTTAATTAGTGACTCCGTTTTTTATGTTTGTTCTGTCAAAAGTTTGGGCTACAAGTAAGGTAAATGCCCTACATACATGCATTCGAAGGTGGAAAATATATAGGAATATAAAAGTGGAATTTTGTTGTTTAATTTAAGAAATAATTTTAGGACAAACATGTGTAGATATTACAAAATTAGTTACTTGCGGAAGTAAGTTTATTTTTAATAAGATTTCAAATGTATAATTTTATTTTAACAAACTTGAAACTTGCTGGATAATTATTTAAATTTTTTCTTGTAAGAAACGAAAATCTAAAACTAATTCCTTCTCAAATGTTGTATTAATTAAATGCTTTATCAAATATTTTAAATAAATTTGATTTTAGATTCTTTAATAAATGTTTCATGAAATTCTGTATGAATTTCTTTATTATATTTCTTATTAAATTCTTTATCAAATTCTGTAATAAATAATTTCTTAAATACTTAATTAAATTCTTTAACTTTGTTCAAATTTTCTTTTTGTTGAAACCTATTTAAAATAGTTCAACTACAATTCTTTATACTACATACTATGTTGCAACCATATCTATGCCACATCCGCTAGAGGAACCTTTGGAACGGGTCGCTTGGTCTATAATTGGATGAGCTGTGGATGGGCGTAATCTGCATTTCCAGACAGTTGGGCGACTTCTTAAAAGCTGCAGCAAAAGAATGTGTTCGAAGGGAGATTACTTACCAGGGAAGAAGGCCAGCAGCAAGTAAGTGAAAGATGATTTGCAGTGACCCCAAATAACCCAATGAAACCACATTAACTATAGGAATTGTATATATTTGCTTTCGAAACTGATTCGTGTGCCAATATTTACGCTATACTTAAACTTTGCTTCGATCTCCGATTGCTTTTCTTTACGAGACGACGGCAACCTACGTCAATGGAGATCAATGGGATTAGTCGCTGACATTGTATTGCCCTATTTATCACTTTTAACACTACTATATCATCAACGGTTATAGAGTAAACACTGGGTTTTGTATTATAAAGTAACTAATTTATCGCTTATCGCAGCTCAATGGGAAAATGAATACAATCGGGGCACGAGAGCTTTTCACAAATGTGTATCAAGAAGGCAAATATAGGTTCATCACAAATAAATATAATAAAAAACAAATATCAATACTTTACACTTATTTACTATTTATAAATCATGTTTTAGCGGGATTTAAAATGTTTCTTTTACTCCGAATTCATAACTATTATTTGCTTAATAAACAGATTAAACCATTTGCGTCATCGATCGATCTCTGATCAAAACTCAACCTTAACAAGACAATGAAAAGTGGCTTCCTTTGGCATAAACTAAACAAAAAAATTGTAATGCCATCGAAAAGTCGGATATATATATACCATTAAGAACTATCAATAACAATAACTGATTTCAAAGGAAACCATTTCAAGATTATCGTGCACTCTCAAGGCTATAAAGCGAGGAAGTGTAAACAAATTGCCCTTAAAAAAGTGAAAATTTGCTTAGGGCAATCCATAAAAGATAAATGAGTTATTATCTTTTTTTTTCTGTATACATTTTTATTTTGAATTGTTTATTTAGCAATTAATGTTTGCATTGAAGGAGCGCTCTCCCGCCCCCAAAACCCCCCATTAGATGCCTAGTTCTTTTGATACAGTTGAGAGCGTTTGTGATTTATGTACGAGACCCTCGACGAGTGCCCCGTGAATATGTGAATGCGAGTGGTATGAGTACTATGAATATGAATAATCACGCCGAAGGCAAACAACGAGTTTCATTGTTCTGGGCGGTAGCTAGTTTGTTGCTCAATAGCTCTGACAATTGGAATAATTAGGCAATACAATCGGAGCCTTTTACATGGGCTTACTTAATAAAGGATTAATGCGCAATAAGTTGGATCATCATCAGAAGTTATCTATTGTTTTTGAATTCATTTGGGTTAGTTTATGAAGAAAATATATCTGAAATCCCTCTGAAATACAAAAGAATCTGTAATAAAAAACCATTTAATCATTTCCAAAATGAAATTCAACATTTTTGCATTTTTATTTGGAGCCTTCGTTGCTGCTCATTTCAAATTAGTTAATGCTTTAACAAAAAAATTAAGATTTGCACATTTCACGTTTCATTATCCTCTCTCTCTCTTTTTATATTTACAGAATTAAGTTTATACATATGGATTTGCATATGCGATAAAAAGTTAATTAAATTTACATTGTTGCTGCTGTTTACTGTTTCGCTTTTATGCATAAAGATAACAAGGCTTAATTGACTAAAAAATAAAGGCACCTGAGTTCAAAGTGTTATTGCCAAATGTAAATATATAGATATATATGTATGTACATATAAAGTATATAATAAAACGAAAATCAAAAAGGTATATAACGCTGTTTGAAAAGTATAAAAACGATAGTCGGTAGTAAAAAATATATGTATTATTTATATATGATTGTGTGGCAGAAAGTGTGCACACTTAACGTAAAGCATTTAAAATTAATTCAATTTATTTAATGGTATGTTTGTTTCAACTGCACTCATTTGTTTTTTATATATTTTTAACTTTGACTGACTGACTTCGAGTGATATTTAATCACTGAAATCGTTTATAAATGTATAATATATATATATATATATAGATAAAGTACTTATATGGTCTTTGTCCCTGAATGAAATGCTCATGTCCCCAACCCTTTAAGCTCCTTCGATACTCCGATACTTTTCCCCCTTGGTTTATTTAGAATTGTTGGCTCTGGTTTTAACCCATTGTTGCTTTGCTGACTAGTGCGTTGTCTGTCCCTCTATGTAGTTTTTCCTTAGTTTTCCTTAGTTTTTCTTAATTTTCCCCCCTTATTTTTTGCTGGTACTTGCCAGCTTTTATTGCATCTTGTAGAGCTGCGGTGGCTCCTTGCTGGCCGGCATCCCTTGATCGTATTTCCCCAACTCGGCCTCATAGAGTAGATTATTGATCAAATGTTTCACCACAATCTTTGACTTGGATGTCTTTAGTTTGCGTATTGTGATGGCCACATATTCCCCAAATACGCCATACTCATCCACATGATTGGAGCTCAGTCCGTTGATGGGTTTGGGGGGCGTGGCATTGCTGCTGGAGCTGCAAGTGCTGGATGTGGCAGCTGGATCCAGTGAGGTGCTGGAATTGTGGCCATTCGATTGCGCCGGTTGGAGGAGATCACGGTCACGATCACGATCACGTTTCTGTGCCATGTTACTGGAATGTTGTTGCTGGTGTTGTTGCTGCTGCAGATGCAGCGATTGTTGCTGCTGCTGCTGCTGCTGCTGCTGCTGTGGTTGCCCGTTGCATTGGCTTAAGCTGAGGCTGTGACTGTGACTAAAGTGCTGCTGCAGTGCCTGAAACGCGAGCTGGTTGTGGTTCATCTGATGCTGCTGCTGCTGCTGCTGCTGCTGGTGGGTGGGGTTTCCGCCTCCTGTCCGTTCGCCACCCGTTGCCTTGATCGGCGTCAGTGTCAGGGCACCCACAACATGCTCCACGCCCAACACACCCCCCAAGACCACGCCACTGCACTCGTCCATTGCCTTCCGCTTGCGGTGGTTGTAGGTGAGGTCCGTGGGTTTGTAATAATTTATTGGAGACGGTGTACTCGTCCGGCGATCCAACATTCCCAGCTCCGATTCGTGCTCGATCTGAGGGGGTGGAAATAGGAAAAGGGGCGAAATAATAAGGATGGGGTTTAGAAAAAGGGGCTGAAAGGCATTGGAACTTTGATATACTAAGCACTCTAAAGTTATGAATAAATAAAAAAATATTCTTATAGAAATGATTTAAAAACTAATCTGTAATCTAGAAAATTTTTCCTTATAAGTGCCTGGTTATCGTATATAATTAGTATTAAGTCATTAACTATTTATATTTAACTTTTTAGCACCAGTTAAATGGTATTACCAATAATTCTTGGCTTATTATTTATATTTATTTATGATAATTATTTAAATGTTAATCTGTATTCTAAGAAATACCTCGAAAAGAAATAACAAACTAACAACAGCCTATGTATCTTGTATATTTAATATTAAATCATTAACTATTTATATTCAACTTTTTAGCACCAGTTAAATGGTATTATCTATTCCGTTAAAATGTTGACTATTTATTTATATTTATTTATGATAATTATTTAAATGTTAATCTGTATTCCAAGAAGTACCTCGAGAAGGAATAACAAACTAACAACAGCCTATGTATCTTATATATTTTATATTAAATCATTAACTATATATATTTCTTACTTTTTAGCACCATTTAAGTGTGGTTTACTTTATAATGATAATTTATATATACATATTTATTTATTTATTTGCGTACTTAATGGTTACGCACATAAAATGAAAGATACCATTTGCGTCATGGTTGCCTTTTATTAATTGTGCTAAGTATTAGCAGTAAATTGTTTTTTAAATGAAAACTAAGCAAATTTGTAGGGTAATCAAATGTATGTAGCCTCAGAAACCTGACTAATTACAATTCTTTTGATGAAACTATAATTTTTTAACAATCATTTTAGATGTATGGTATGAGTTTTGAATAAAAAATTAAATTATAAATGGTATTTATAAGAGCAATAAACTTATGGACTCTGCCAATAGGGAATATTTTTTTAAATTTTCATGAAAATACCCAAATATTGCTAATTAAGCATTTTATAATTTAAATCAATCAATCAATATTTTCCCATTATTTTGTACTATATAAATAAGGATGAGAATTTTCCTTTCTAAAGTAAATCTCTGCCATATTTCATCAGCCCTATTTATTATTATTTTGCTTAAAGATGGGCTCGTCTCAAAATACCGGAACCTGATTTGCTTTGCTTCTACATTTATATATATATTTTTATATACACATTATAGTATGAAACGACTGACGAAATCAAAGCGGCGTTATTTCATCAACTATTTAGTAGATGAGCATCTCTCGCGTTTTGAATACTAATTAAAATAGACAATTAAATCTAAGGTGTCCAAAGGGAGAAGATAAGTCACTTGATTAATTATGTGCAAAAATTATATATGTTATTAAAATCATATTATATTATATCTTCAAAAATGCTTCAAGCTTTATATGTATAATTTAAATTATATTATAAATATATACCCTCCTAAATCAGGTCAATGAAATTCTAAAAATAATATTTCTAAATTTTATTTTCGTACATTTCCGCATTTAGATAATTCAATTCTATTTTCTTCTTAGTTAGAGAAATATTATATTTTAATTTAGATCTATGAAATCTTTTCTTCTTTGACTTATAAAAACTTGAAATGGATTTGACAAATAGTCGAAATGATTCACAGGTATTTAACTGCTACGCTGGGCTTATCATCATTGATAGATATCCGGATGTATCATATCTGACCTGGCAACAGGCAGTGACCTTCATCAATTGAAAACTCTCGATGGTCAATGTTCAAGTTGTGGGACGTCATAAATGGAATTGATAAGATTCGTCATCGAATTAAGTTAGTTACAGAAATTAATTCACCATAGAAACCTTATCAGATAAGTGGGAATTATGTATATAACGGAAATCTAATCACACTCTTTGGTTAAAAAAATATAAAAACAAAAATTTTAAATGGTTTAAATAAGTTAAATTAATATATGTAGGTTATTAAAGGTTTTAAAAGAATTTTAGTTGATTTAAAAACTCCTATATATCTTTTATATATCCTATATTAATCTAATAATAATAATATTATTACACCCAAATGAGATTCACTTCAAGATTGAGATAAAAAAAATAAAATAATTAATTCGCTACAAAAAATATGGCAAATCAAATCTTAAATATATAATATAATAAATTAATTCCCTAAAAATAAAAAAAACATAGAAAATCAAATCTTAAACCTGTCAAATCAATTAAATTGCAATTAACAATTAATAAAAGTCAAGGGGTACTTACAATTTCGGTTTTCACATCTTCGGCACTGATATTGCAATAATTCTCGCCATCCAAATCGGAAGAGGAACGTGTCTACGAGAGATCGAATACAAAAAAATTAAATAAACAACAAAAAATATATTAGAATTAGCGGCGACCGTAAAATCAACAACAAATATTCGCACAATTATGGCACTGTGGAGAATTCGCCAGACAAATAATAACAAAAAACAACAATATAGTATAGTATAATAATAATAGTGGACAGACGCGCAAAGCGAGAAACGCGAGAGAAATAGAAAACAAATTAGAATAATAATAAAGAGTAGGAAAAAAAACCTCAGGCAAACACTGGATGCAGACACTCGCACCCATACAGCCTCAAAAAAAAAAAGAGAAGAAAAAAAGTTCGATCCAAGTCGAGAGCCGATGGCGATTAAATTAGTCACGGCGGGACAAGGTGGTACGGGTACGGTTAGCGGGGGGTTGGGTATGAAGGGGGGCAGAAGCCGAGCCAACATCGAAGTGGACCAACGGGTGGACAAGACTCACAGATAGACGCGAGACGACGAGTGACCAACAAAAAATAACAAACACACATCCACACACGAGAAATATCACAAGGTATTAATGGTAAGTCAATGAAACGAATAGTTAATACCCTATAATAAAGGTTAGAAAGTGTATAATAAATACATTTATTATTGGTTAAGTGCCTTGAATAATTAATTAAGATTTTTGTACTTTATTAAAAGTACTATAGTACTTGTTTATCAGGACAATTTCCAGCAAATAAAATTACATATTAATCAATTATGAATTTGAGTATTATTTAAATACGATTTAAATTTATATATTTAATTAAGCTTATTTAAATTGAATAATTCTTTGAGCAATTTATACTTTGCTTTTAATAATAAATTTATTAAAAGTCGTTTCCAACATAAAACTCTTGAATGTCAAAACTAAGCAACCGATCGACTTAATTTCTGGGCATTAGTACCTGGTACTTTTACAAAGCTCCCTTTGGAGAAAGCTCACCTTATGACCGAACTTCCCACATCGGACAGACGCTAGGAGCTTCTGCCCAAAAGCGCCGTACTCTTTTTCGGGAGAGAATCAAATGGAATAACGAACCGAACAAGCGGACGAGGCAAACGAGGCAATAACAAAACGCAGTCCAGCAAGTTGGAGATATTGGTCTTCGGGGGCGGCAGAGAGCACGCCCGAAGGGGCTGGGAGGCGTGGTCGGTGCAAAACGTGGGGCTGCCGATTTCTACGGCTGATGCAACACACATGTGTGCATGCAATACGGCACACACATGGAGCGGCGGGTCTGAGTGTGTTTGAGTGTGAGCTAGCAGCTGAAGCGGCAGCGCAAATCAAAGCCAGTTGACACACACACTCTGGCACACTAACACCAATACTGGCTTATCAAGCGCAACGCAATAGCAACTGCCCCGCACAGTGGGTACCAAAGAGGTGACGTGGTGATAAGCAGGGTTGTTTTAACTATAACTATAACTAAAATGCAACCATTATAATTAAAAAAAAATTCTTTAAACAGCAAAATCCCTAAGATTTAGTATTTAAATTTATTAAACATATTTCATTATTATTATTTATACAAATTTTATAAATTTGGCATTGCAATATTTAATTTATTTTAAATTAAAATTTTTATAAAATGTTATTTAAAAGAATTCATAGAAAAAAATTACTCATACGCCGTGTGTTCCTAGTAAACACATCTATATTATGCTTTATATTTAGTTGGCATTTGATAAAATAAAATAAAACGTAAATCTGTATTAAAAAAAATGTTTTTTTTTTCAAATAGTTGAAAATTAGGCCAAAAAATTACTCATACGCCATGTGTACCTAATAAGCCCATCTACTTTTCTTATAAAAAGTTATGTAAATTTAAAGCATAAAAATTTACATTATATTTTACATAAAAAAATAAAACATAAATCTGCATTACAAAAAAATAGATAATTTTTGAAAATTTGAAGGAAAAATATTACTCATACGCCATGTGAGCCTAGTAAACCGGTCCACAGAATCAAACCTCAAGAAGGGAAAATATAAATTATCTATGTCTGTCTATAATTATTGAATTGTAAATGTAATATAATCTTATAATAAGACAAAATATATAGGTGTTTGCAGTAAGCTAGTTCAAAAAATATTGCTCATACGTCATGTTGGTCAGCTGAAGAGAACATTAAAAATCCGAAAATAAATAGTTTTCGATTAAAAATAAATAAGAAAAATACAGTTATTTAGTAAAAAATATTACTCAGCTTATATATTTAAAAAATGAATTATGAATTGACTAAAATGTATTTTTAATTAAAGTTTAAATATATAGATTTTTTCAAAAAAATTTTAATAGATAAATTGTCTCAAAAATATATAAGCATGTCAAGTTATATTTCCTACAGTCTGAAAAGTTCTAGACCAGGTGCTTCAAGCACCTTTGGACCCACTGTGCGCCACCGGTTGCTTCGCTGCCGTTGACGAACCGCTAGACAGCGTAGCAAAGGCGTCGCTTGCGGGAGCGGTGGAGGTGGCGGTGACAGCAGCGCGTGTGCTGCCTGCTGCCGCAAAACAAGTCAAACCACTCGCACACACACACACACCGGCGCTTCATGCAAAGCTCCAGGGGAACACAACAAAAGTCGAGGAAAAAAAAAACCGAGAGACACATGCAAATATGTAAAGTCGAGCCAAGGGAAATATGTATGTATGAATGTATGTCTGAATGTATAAATGTATAAATTGTTAGCTTACCACAGCCGCTGAGGAGGATTCAATTGCCCCGGCTGCCTCCTCGAGATCGAGATCACCAGCAGCGGTATCCATGGCATCACCGGCCACGCTATCCTCATCCCTTTCCCTGTCCCGCTCCCGATCCCTGGCATTGGCAGCCGCTGCAGCAGCAGCGACGGCAGCTACGGTGGCAGCAATGCGGACTTTTAGCTCCTCGGCATGCAGCTCACGGTCCCGCTCCACCTGCTGCTGCTGCTGCTGCTGCTGCTTGTCCGCCTTGAGCTGCTCCAGGTCTAGGCTATGCATCAGGGCTAGCTTCTCATCGGCCTCCGCTTCCGCCTCGCGATCCAGATCGAGTTCCCGGTCCCGGTCCCGGTCCTGATCCCGTTCCCGTTCCCGTTCCGAAGCCTGCTCCGGTTCTGGTTCCTGATCGTGATCCCGTTCGCCGTCCAGAATGAAGCGTATAGCTTCGTAGGCAAACCACATGGGCTGATAGTGGACGCCCCGGCTGCGTCCGCTGAGCACCTTGCCATGCTCTCGATGGAAGGAGCTGCGCAGCGATTTGATTTTGGAGCGTATCGAGCGGATCTCTGTGCCATATTTGCCGCTCAGCAGCTTGAGGGCCTCGTATTTGGTCTGCTTGATGTGATAGCCCTTGGTGTTGGGGTCCCAAAGGACTCGCTGGCGCCGGTAGTCCTCGATGAAGTTCAGGATTGTGGAGCGTGACCATTCGATGCGGTCAGCTGGCGTCGCTGTTGCCGTCGATGGCAGCGTGGGCGATGGCGGCAGTGGCAGCGGCAGAGGTAGCGATAGTGGCAGCGTCAATGGCAGCGGCAGCGACTGCGCCGCAGCAGAAGCAACATCGGCGATCAATGCAATGGCATTGGAGTTGGCGTCAAGCTTGAACTGCGCTGCGGCTGCGCTGCTGGACATAATGGTGAAAGTTTCGCCCAGCGGGGAGTTGGCGGGGTGGCTTCTGCAGCGGTGGGTGGGTGCGACAGAGATGGGCAGGTGGATAGATAGATAGATAGAGAGAGAAAGATGGGGGGAGGCCGCAGCAGGCTGAAAGGCGAACGCAACGCAACGCAACGGCAACGCGACGAAAAAAGCGTCCACAACACGTTGCTTTTGACTTTCGACTGGCGGCAGCAGCGGCGAGCGTTGAGCGTTGAGCGTTCGCAACGTTCAGCGCTGTGTTGTGGCAGCGGCAAGTGCGACGGCAGCGCCAGCTCAGCTGCACTTTGTGTGAGAGAGAGGTAGAGTGGGGGCTCGCTCGCTCGCTTGCTCGTATGTACGTTTGGTCGTCCAAAATCAACGCAAAGGTGTGCGACTCGCCTCTCTCTCTCTCTTACACCCGCTGTCTCTTTTCCGCCTGTCAATGTGTGAGTGCTGCAGCAGGCGGGCTTTTTCGTTGTCTTTTTTTTTCTTCTGACTTTTTGCTTTTTTCGCGCGACCTGTTGTTGCTCGCTTGATAATGCCAGGGCTTTGTTGTTGCTGCTGCTGCTGCTGCTAGCGTTTCTATTTGCTATCAGCTGTTTTATTGCATGTTGTTGGACGAGTGGTGTTGTTGTGGTTGCCACTTGATTCCACAGAGCGTAGAGCGTTGGTGTAATCGTTGTTAATTGTTGTATAGATTCTCCAATCAGTTTTAGGCGTACTATTGTTGTTGTATTTCTTGGTGTGTTGATTTGTAGGATTCAACTATGTTTTTGCAGTCAGTATTTCCTGATGTTGGAGTTTGTTTTGTTGGGGTTTCTTAATGTTAATAGGAATTAACTTTCTTGGTGTATCCGCTGTTGGTGTTTTCTGTGTTAATTATTAATGGTATTTATTACGTTATTGATCTATTTGTTGGTGTTGCAATTGCATTGGGTATTGGTGTGGTTCCTGGTCGCGTTTCAATTATGGTTATCTAAATAAATATCAGTTAAAGATGTTGGTGGTATTGTTGTTGTGTTGTTGTTTTATATCTTACATTAGTTGTTTATGTTTCCTCCTTAAGCTTTGGCTTATATTAGTTGTTGTTGTGTTGCTGTTGCTGATGTTGCTGCTGCTGCTGTGGCCTGAGCCTGTTGCTGCTGTTATTGCTGCTGCTGCTGCTACTGCTGCTGCTGCTCGCTCGTGCTTATTTTTTTTGTTGGTTTTGTCGCCACTTCGTCGACGCTCGTTCGTCGCTCGTCGTTCGCTGTTGAAATCACGATTTGTACTAATTTCACATATTTAAACTGTGTGTGGCATGCGCGCTGCTCCAAACGGGCCGGTTGCTGTTGCTGTTGTTGTTGCTGCTGCTGCTGTTGGCCGTAAGTTCGTCACTTGCCTTTGCTTTTGCTCCCCCGCTCCCGATGCCGCTCATAACCCGCACACCTTTCCGTTCGCCTTGCTCGTGTCGCGAGTTGCGATCGTTGCTGCCTGTGCTGCTGCTGCTGCTGCTGTCGTCAACAGCCACACGTTGCACAGTGGGCCCGATCGGTGTGCGCATGTGGCAGCGGCTGCCAAAACGTCGGCGGCCATGAGATGATGCTGGAAACACACGAGCATACACATTTGTACACACAATAACACACACATACCGACATCTGGGCAAAAAGCCTATTTATAAATAGCGACACACGGCACAGTGTGGCGAATGGGACACAGTTGTTGCAAGTTTGCTTTGCTTAATTGAGTGAATTAAAATTTTATAAGCTTTAAACTGAAATTATAAAATATATTTTAATTTTAATTTCGATTTGCCAAATAATATATTGTATAAAAAATCGAAAGAACAATTAAGGAAGATATTTAAAACAATTTTGTGACCTCTACACTCTCTTTAGAAAACAAGAAATAAACAATTAATGTATGGTTTATTTTTTATATAAATACAAAAAATATAAATGCTACAACTTTAATTATGAGAAGAACATGGGCTCCACTTTTTCTAAAAATTTTCTAGAGGGTTAATTATTTGCCATTCTCAAGGTTCATATATTTCTAATATTGTGTTCTGATTAGTAGCCAATAAAAGCCACCACAACCACCTTTATCCCACTGTGCGTTTGGCGGCTAAAGCTGTAAATATTGTTGCCTCTGTCGCTGCCTGGTGCTCCCCTTTCCCCCACTGCTCCTCTAGTTCTCACCGCCACCACTCTCGCACTTCTCTCATCAGCACGGCTGAGAAGTTGTTATCGTTGCCACTGTCGTTGTTGTTATTATTATTGCTGCTGTTGGAAAAAAAAACAAATATTAAAAATAACAACAAAAAGCTTAAAACACGGTAACAAATTTAGCGAGTCAGCAAAATAACAGAAAAAGAATCGAAAAAGGAATTGCATTTCATGGCGAATTTGGATGTTTTTCGGCTTTGCCTTGTTGTTATTCTTATTCAATATACCCTTTACCGATCGAGAGTTTTGATTTTAGATTTGAAATTGTCCTTTTGTGTATATTTAATTTAATTATATAAAAATATTTAACTATTCAGAAGGTAGTACTAAATAAATTTGGTAAATAAACTAATGTACTAATTTTACTGTGTTGTATTCTTCTGACTAGAATTATAATACTCTCGAAGTGTATGAAAATGTAATCACCTTAAAATATTTTATGTTTTTATATCTATAAACTCAAGTATTAAATAATAAACCACAAAATTTAACTAATCCCATAAATGATTGCTCCGGTACCTAGGGTATCAATTAATTCGATCTCTCATTAACTCTCCTTTCTGTATGTTAATCGCCAGGTGAGAGGGAGAAGAGGCTTGAGAGTGGAAGAGAAATGGAGTGCTTTTGCTGTCGCTCACGTAGGCAGAGCTTTGTTTTTGCATTCATGCTTGGCATTAGCTTTAGCCTGCACTCTCCCACCGTCTCAGTTCCTCTTTTGTTCGCATTGCGTGTGCTAAACCACGTGCAATTTTTTCGCCGAATTTGGTACGTTCACCGCACACACTCAGAAGTAATAATTAATATAAATGTAAGTATATATGAAGTAGCATACATAATTAGAACGACCTAAGCGGACTTCTCTTATCAGTTTTGCATTATGCCTTGCACAATCACTCTGTCCCACTCCCTCACTTTTTTCTTTGGCCGCACTACTCTCTTTCTCCCTCTCTCACAGCTGTTTTGCATTGCGGAAGCTTTCGAGTCTGTCTGACTTCGTCCCCCTCGTCTTACCGATCGCCTTAACGGCTCATTATCAGGCTGCGTCGCTGTTACCATTGGCATCGCAGTCGACGTCGACCGTGGCAGCGACGTGTTTGCCGCACCTACGATAACGGTATTAAGCTGACATTTTCATGCACCTCCCAACACCGAAAACCGGTTGAACAGACAGCTAAATACCCTGCACATCCATAGGGGATTATCTCCTACACTCAGAAACCAAAGTTATTAAAATTGATTTACAAAAATTATAGGATTAATTAGATTTTTCCATTTTTTCCTTATTATTAAATTTTATTAACGAATTTATGATACAATACATATTTAAAAAGCTACAGAACTTCGAAATTTTTAATTTTTAAAAATTACTTTTCAGGAATAGGGGGAAATAACTTTTGGACAATTAAAATTTCTTTAAATTATTTATAAGCTAACATTTTCAAAGTACTATTAATGTTTTTTGTTTCTTTTCCCATGAAATGATTGCCATAAATATGAAAGGCTTGAAAACGAGTGCAGCAGAGTCAGGGAGCTTATAACGATTTGCTGCCGGTGAAAAGGTGCGATTAATCACCATTAAAATCCACGAAAATAACCTGGCCTGCAGCGTGACTGTCGCACATTAGACCCGTCCAAAATTGGCCCGGACTGCGTCAGGGCAAGCGACTCGACGACGAGGCGTCATCCGTCGTCCGTCAGGTGAGTGGCGCAAAGCTTTTTGCATTCAATTCTCGCTCCAAGTTGACAAATTGACGTTCAAAGTTGTTTGCGCAGCATTTCAGTTGCAGTTTCGGTTGCACTGCCTGTTTTTCTTCGCTTTTCCCGTCCAGGCTTTTCACCCTACCCCCACCACCACCCGGTGGTTCGCTTTTCCATCCGCAGCCGTTCAGGTTCCTTATTACATTATGATTCCCGACGGTACACTCCGTTTCGCCACCTATAAATGCGACTTTGCGATTGAGCTGGGAATGAACGGTATTACACTGGGGTCGAAAAGTTAGCTTGCAGGGGGATTGTATTAGTTTAAAAACGTATACATTTTATATGATTAAATTATAATCAATCGTGAAGAAGTTTATTTAATTAATAAGCTTTAAACCCTTTCACATACTAAAGTGTATATTACGTATACGTAATATTTCTAATTTTAATTTTGCTACAAAAGAGCAGGGAAACGCATAGGGAAATTAACATATTTAAATAATGGTATAATATTTATATTTAATTTTTGGTATTATTATTATTATTTTTAAAAATCATTAACTTTAAAGAGGTATTTTATATATTATTTCAAACATATTTTTCTATTGAAAAATCAGTTAATTACAAGATTTTAGTATGGGAGCTAAATATTTGTGAATTTAGGTAAAAATTAAGGGTGAAATTAAGTATTAATAATTTAAGAAGCTATATTCTTATTTTATTTTATATATTTTTTTTATTGGAGCTCTGTCGCCCTTTTTTTTGTTTCTAAGTCTTATAACATAACTTTCCGTGAGCACTGTTTCTGAGCGATATATATAAATTGCAATTTCTGTTCCTGCTGCTGCCAGCGTTATTGTTGTTGCCATTTCAGTTTGTCATTGCCATCTAAAATGCATTGAGCTGTCACATTAGAGCAGCAACTCGATACGTCAGTCCGCAGTGCCGCCCCCCTTAGGCCACCCAACCCCTTATGGCACCCCCTCCATTAGTGCAGCTCAGCATTTTACTTACAGTCAAAAGCTCTTTTTTTCTTTCCTTTTTTTTATCAATCAACTTTAAAGGTGTTGCTGCAGTGGAAGTTGTTGATGTTGCCGGTGGTAGGGTGTTTGTGTTGTTGCTCCTGGTGCAGTTTATGTACTACCTGGTACTTCCTTACGGTGATAGGGTATTTTTTGGGTTTGAAAGGTATACAAGATAGTATAGTTATTATATTTTGTTAAAACATATCCAAATTGTGTTTTAATTGAAGCAAAACTATGCTTTTAAAAGATATTTTAGTGTTTCCGGTTTGCGTGCCCCCAAAAAGTATGCTATGTTTTAGGTCGTGACACTATGTAGAAAAGAAAGGAGAGTTTGTTCCTGATATTCATTGAAAATATATCCAAATTTTAACTAAATCTAGCAAATATTATGTTTTCCAGAGGTATTTCAGTTTCCCGGCCCCCCCAAAAAGTATGCTATGTTTTTAAAACCAGGTATTCTTTGGTCGTGACCATTATAGTTTTGTATATTATTTCCACTGCACCGTTTGTCGTTGCGTGCACTGTGGTGGAAATTGCTGTTGACGTTGGCTATATGGAATACTTATAAGTAAAAATACATATTTTTATTCAATTTCCAACATCACGTCGGGACGTCGCCACTCTGCCATTGTCTTTTGTTATTTTTGCGATTGCCCCCTGACGCGTTCAACCCCCTCCCACAGGCTTGGGTGTTTATCTGATGATGTTTTTGCTCCCCGCTTTTTTTTCAATTATGCAGCGCACAATGCTTTTCTTTCCTTTTTCCTTACAATTTCTTTTTTTCTTCCTTTTTTTTGCACCTCTCCCCTGGGGGCAACTGTTCAACTGTTTAGCCTGTCGGATTAGCCACGCAGCTGTCGCGGCGTTGGAAAAGCATTTCCCTATTTCCCCATCGCCGAGCAGCTCCATAGCTACATAGTAGTCGCCTTCTAAATGCAGTGGGCAGCCGTCAAGTCGGCAGTTGGCAGGCGGCAGTCGCAAGTCGAGTTTTTTTTCGCCAGTTAAATGGATGTATGACACTGACTCTGGGGGGAAATCAAGGGAAATTCTAAATATTATTACGAGGAGAGGGGGCTGGAAAGCAATTTAAATGATCAAGAGATATGGCAAATTGGGGAGGATATATAGAAATATTTTATAGAAGTGTGGAATTGTGAATTTCTTAATTTAAATTGTAAGAAGAATATATA